AAGACTGGTTCAATGCGGCCCCATGTCAGAACAGTCGAAGGAACTTGACTGAATTATGTTTTCTTGTACAAAATTGGGTGCATTGATAGAAAAAATAACTCAAGATTTCTCAATGGCTGAAGGGTTGCAGAACGGGGCCACCAAAGTGAAGACCACACCGGGGCGGAGAGCACCACTCCAGGGCAGACAGCCCCACTCCAGGGCAGAAAGCCCCACTCCAGGGCAGAAAGCCCCACTCCAGGGCAGAAAGCCCCACTCCAGGAACCTGGGGACACTAACCACTACCTGGGGACACTAACCACTCACCTGGGGACACTAACCACTACCTGTCCGTCAATATTGCCTGGTCAGGTTTCCAGCAAAGCCTTCTAAGGTAACGATAAATAATAACTTGATATCGGAAAATTTATTTTTGAGGCTTCGATTTCAAATGCAACCATCTTTTAAAATTATTATACGGTAATGTTGGAAAATAAGAAAACCAGTTACACTTCAGCGTTTGAAGAACTAAAACAAGATGCAGAAATATTTTTCCTAGGAAATTTGAAGAACCAATTGAAAATAAGGTATACAGGATCATTTTTGAACGCTTTGTTATGTATATACATCTATTGAATCTTTCTTTCGCTGATCTGGTATGAATTGAAAAACCATATTTTGCGACACACCGAATTTTGCAGACACTACAATTCTTCATTGAAAGGCATTTATGGTCTCCACACTGCTCTATTTTTAAGCATCGTTTACAACTCACTCGTGGTTAAAGTTCATTCCCACCGCCCATACAAAATTCTTGGAATTCAAGTGTTGCAACACTCTGATTAACGCTATTCTGGGTCTGCTTGGTCACCCGAATGAAATCAGCTTTTGATCAGAATCTCTTTTCCAACTTTATAGCGTCCTGAGAGTATGATATGCCCAAATGAAAATTAAGGGTGGCGCATCGATGATTATTGGTAGCGATGGTAGATTATAGGGGGCGTAACGATGAGTGGCCACATATGCCGAAAATCGCTAGTAAAATACTAATAAATCGATAGGATGGCGAGGGGACGCCTGTCGGAGACCACCACCGCCGTGCATCGAATGGACTATCATGGCGAGTATAGGTGGCTGTCATCGATGAATAATGAATGATTTATAAGGTAAAAATCGTCGATGACGCATTACAGTCAAATCTCTTGTAAGCCACCGATAACCGTTTGCCCAGACGGCGCAGTGAATGGAATTTCCCACTCTAATTTATCTAACGTAGAAGGGTGTTATTGGGTTGCTGATCATTAGAGGTCAAGACGAAACCATGACTTCGTTCTGTGTTCTTGGCTTGTAAGATTTTGATTCAAATAAATTCAGCGAAAATTTAGCACCACTTTTGATTTCCACCTGTATCCACCAATTATTATCGATGCTCAACTAATAATTTTATTTGGGTAGGTGGGGCACAGATGGCCCCCTATTGATCGATGGAGCACCGATGACCTATAGGTGTCCGGTTATCCAATACACTCTTATTCCACCAATAACTACCCATTGGCATCGGTGGCGCATCGATGAGCCACCGATGGCCACCTTTAAGTGAAGTTTATAATAATTTTTCCTTTATTTTAAAATTCGATGCACTTGTTAATGTTGCTTCATACAATCAAACATTCTGAGAACTACGTATGCACATCCACCATGGCAGTACAAGTAATATTGCCGGACATATAGCAGGAATAAATTATCCGAGTACCATACATATACCTTACCTTGTGAGAAATCGACTTGAAGAAAACTCCCTGCCTGCAGGATTAGAACTCCGATCTCCTACTTGGGACACTAGTCATTTTAAGAGACTTTTTTGTTGTACTGCAAGTATTTATTTTATCAAATGAAAAAGTTAATGCTACTACCGTGATGATAAGATGGTTCCATTAATTATTTTATCTGAACGTGCTGCTATATTAGAGTGAACAGCCGCTAAAAGAAACTTCGTTCATCACAACGAACGATGGTTCAGCTCCGCGTAAAGGCGATGCAGGAAAATGCTTGATACGTGTCGAAGCTTAATAATGTGAACATTACACCAATTTTGACAGCGGTTCGATTCGAAATATTTTGAAATCGAGCACATATTATATCTCACATATTCCAAGCAGGACGTGGTAAAGATTAGGAGGAAAGAAGCTCATCGAGGGCGAGCGCCAACCCAACAAATATGAACGTTTATGATAACACATCTCGCTCGTTGCACTTTAGAGAATAATTGCACTCTATATAAATGCGACAACATGAGGATATTACAAATAACATTACACACTTAATCGATTTCTACAATTTATACCATTATACACAGCAAGTTGGCGCATACGCAGAATTCACAACAAATTTACGAAAAATATATAGGGCGAACTTGAAAAATTGGAATCGCTTTCTTTTGTGTAACTGTATTTTCTGCAAACATTTTCACATTTTTCCGCGGACAATTTATATCAGGAGCAGCCTGATACCCGAAGTGGCTGCTTGAAACATTTATGAACACCATGATTCTGTCTGTCCGTTTTACTCGTATCACCCCCGATTTATTGTCACCCTCTCGTGTCACCCTCTCGATTTATTGGTGTTTTATTGTCGATTTTTTTGCAGATGTGGCCACCCATCGTTACGCCACTTATGATATACCGTCGCCATGCACCTATAATACTCGATGCGCCATCCTTAGTTTTTATTTGGGTATATCCACCAAGAATAATTCATGATACACCAATAATTTTCATTTGGTGGGGTGGCGAAGTCGTGTCATACTGAGCTTGCACGAATTTTAATTAAAAAATTATCGAATTTTCTCACACGATCGTCGGGTAATGTTTTCGGCGACAAAATAACATAGCTTGCGTTGCAGGAGACATAAATGGAACCCAGATCCAGTAACCAGTTATTTGAAAAGAAAGTTCGAAAGGTATGCCATACAATAACTCATAGACGATAAAAACGGTGGCTATAACATTGTGTTGGATCTTAAATTGCAACAGAATTACAGCTAAAATTAACACATACACATGAGAATGGAAAAGGTGGACGACGCTCCGGTAAAATCTGCGTCCAAATAGAATTTTCATACCCAGCAGCCTACAGCACGAATATCGTGCCGCTCTCACACGCAAGATTAAGGCAGCAATTAGGCAAATCCTATCAGGATGGCGACGCTCCTTCGTTTTCTGCTCCTCTCGCTGCACTCCGGCCAAGCCATCCCCCTTTGAGAGAGATATAAAACCTTAATTCATTACTAAGCCCGTAAACCTCTTTGCTGGAGACGAAAAGCGTGCAGGGCTGTAAAACCAAACAAAGGATTAAATGGAGCGATTTATAACGTAGAGCGTGTTGTAACATGGGTTACATTGAGCGTGTTGTGACGCGCGTTACGTTGTGTGTGTTGTAACATGGGTTACTTAGTGCGTGTTGTGACGCTCGTGAAATGTTGTGCGTGTTGTGACACGCACGTTATGTGGTGCGTGTTGCCTGCCGGCACACTGCACCACCAGCCTGTCCCACAGCGTGGCACACTGCACCAGCAGCCTGCCCCACAGCGTGGCACACTGCACCACCAGCCTGCCCCACAGCGTGGTACACTGACTGCACCAGCAGCCTGCCCCACAGCGTGGTACACTGACTGCACCAGCAGCCTGCCCCACAGCGTGGCACACTGCACCAGCAGCCTGCTCCACAGACCCCACAGCGTGGTACACTGCACCACCAACCTGCCCCACAGCGTGGTACACTGCACCAGCAGCGTGCATCACAGCGTGGTACACTGCACCAGCAGCCTGCCCCACAGCGTGGCACACTGCACCACCAGCCTGCCTCACAGCGTGGCACACCGAATCACCAGCCTGCCTCACAGCGTGGCACACTGCACCAGCAGCCTGCCCCACAGCGTGGCACACTGCACCAGCAGCCTGCCCCACAGCGTGGCACACTGCACCAGCAGCCTGCCCCACAGCGCGGCACATTGCACCAGCAGCCTGCCCCACAGCGCGGCACACTGCACCAGCAGCCTGCCTCACAGCGCGGCACACTGCACCAGCAGCCTGCTTTACTCTAGAATCTTCATCAAGAGAGGACACCGAGAGCGGATATCTAGAGAACTCTAGAGAGGTCACACAGAGGGGTTGTTTTGACAGGTCATCTAGAAGGGACATCAAGATGAGCTACCTAGAGGGGACTTGACATCTAGATGAAAAATTCATAGGAGATACAGCGTGGAAACAGCTGGATGGGAAATCTAGAGAGGAGTTGACATCTAGAGGAGACATTCATAGGAGACTTCGTGAGGGGACACCGGCAGCGTATATAGCTAAAACAAAACGAACGTATTGAAGAGTAAAACAGGTGTTGTTTACAAAATTTACTGCACATGCAAACATTCAAACAGCAAAAGCCATTCTATAGAAAATACATAGAATTCCAAGTTACTATAAAGGTATATACTTAGATGCATATAGAAAAGTTCGGCACAGAGAAGAATATTCCTTTGGATCTGTTCGTACAATTGATGCACCTATTACAATGCTATTTTTACATAAGGACTGATAGACTGTGGAGCCAAAGAAGCGAAGACACATCAGCTTAAAATACACATAAAAATATATGTGGCTAAATTAAAACCTCCTCTAAAACAAATGACCAATCCCCGAAACGGAGACTAGAAATCTAACCCCACACTGAGACACGCCTCAACAGGCAATGTCAGGTTGAATCATTGTTGAAACAACAAAACTCACGACGTTGAAATAGCGTTGAATATTAGTTATAATGAAAATTGAATCAACGCCATTTTTTAACGTCGAAAATTTCGACGTTATTTCAACGTTGAAATCGCGTTGTCATCTGCCGGTAAAATCGCGAAAACATATATGCCATTTTAAAGTCAGAATTTAACGCGATTTCAACATTGAAACGTCAAAATGTACGATGTTGAAAAAATGACGTTGATTAAATTTTCATTCTTTACTAACATTCAACGTTTTTTCAACGTCGTGAGTTATGTTGTTTCAACGTTGATTCAACCTGGCATTGCCTGCTGGGACGACCCAACCTATCCACCGAGACAAGCGACCTAACCTAAACTGGAAGAGGAGATTAAGGTAAGGTTTCTGGGGAGATCACGTCACGCCCTCGGGGCGAACGTGAAGGTGAGGGGCGTCTCGGGCTTGAGGGTGAACTGGGACTTGACGCGCATCTCCTCCTGGTGCTCGAATCTGACGGTGTACTTCTGAAGGACCTGTGGGAGGTAAAGGGTTTTGAAGCAGGTGTGTGTGGAAGAAAGGTCTGGCAGGAGCCAGTAGATGAGGTGTCAACAGTAGCTTGTATGAGGGGTCAAGCGGGGCTTCGGAAAGATGGTAAACAAGAGGTTGGGAAAGGTAATCAAGTAGGATTGGAAGAGGAGCTCAGGCTGAGCTTGGGAAGGGGAGGTCTGGCTGGAGCCTTGGGATATGTTTAAGCTGGGCTTTGGGAGGCCAAACAAGGAAGGGCAAGCAATTGACCTCGCTTGGTCAATCTACTGACCAAGGGTCGAGCATTGGGAAGGAAGGTGAAGCAATGTCATGGATTAGGAGGCTATTTAGCGGTCAGAGGATGGGAGCTCAAGGAAGGGTTCGAAAGAGAAGGTCAACCAGGGGCCTGGGGAGGAAAGGAGAAAATAAGGTCTGCGGGGAAGGGATAAAGCTGATGTACAAGGAAGAGGTACATGTCATGTTGTGGGAAGAGATGTTTTACGCTGGCGAAGGAGACACGTCATTATACCGATTGTCTCAGCTTTAGGGGGGTGAACACGTAACGTTGTAGTAGGAAAGAGAGTCTCACCCTGACGAGGAAGGTGAATATCTGCTGCTCAGCGATGCGCCTCCCCACGCACATGCGGGTGCCGTGGGAGAAGGGGAGGGAGGCGAAGGGGTGCATGGGACCGAAGGGCCTGTCGCGATCCCAACGCTGGGGGAGGAACTTCTTCGCCTCGGGGAAGAACTCTTCCTGCTGCGATATGACAGACTGCAAGCTCAACACCAGCGTCTGTTGAGGAGAGTGATGGTGTGTCTGTTAATTTTGATTGTTCCATAATTACAAGCGCTTTAGATTAGGCAGGATATCTTGCCCGTTATGTCGCAGAATCTATTCAGTGTGAATAACTTGAGGGAAAATTCTAGCATGAAGGAAAATTCAATTGAGGGAAAATTCAATTAAATTGCTTTAATCATTGATTTGATACAAATTCAAATAACTGGTTTATAGATGATCAAGAATGTATGACGCTTCTGTGTGTGGTGGCAGGGTGAGGTGGCAGGGTGAGGTGGCAGGGTCTCCACCGTCCCACTCCACCGTCCCACTCCACCGAGGGTATCACCTCACCCCAGCAGGCACGCGGTATCCCGACATGACGACGTCGCTGCAGAGGATACGGGAGGAGCCAAACACCAGCGGGTACAGCCTGCGAGGACTCCGCATTAATCCCGTGCATTATTTGATCAACACTTGAAGCCAATATGGACCCAAGGTAACAGAACAGCTTCCATATATCTGAAATGTATTGCTGACTGTTCAATTTCACTCCTGATGGGACAAAAACGAGTGGGGACCTCCCAGTGGCGGTTACCGCGGCCCAAACCATCACGGACATGGGATTTTAACGTCATGCTACTGTTCTGGTTGCCACAGATCTATCCCGACTCCAAACTCTGTCATTTTGACGGTTAAAGCTTTGTTCTATGTCAAATTTTTTTTTCGCCACTGAACACCAAGTTGGGCAGCGTGCCATCCTCAATGAGATCCAGAATATGCTGGCATCTTTCGAGCCTCATTCGTTCATGACGGTCTGTTAGTTCATGTCTTGTTTGCATCTTGTAAGGGGAGGTTTTGTGGTCATCTTTGAGGACTCTACGCATTGATGTCTGACTGACTCCTGTTTCTGCAGCCAATTTGCAGCTGAGCGACGAGGGTTTCTCCTCAACTTCTCCCTCGTGTTTGTGACCAATTGTTTTGTTCGGACACTTCGTTTCCTTCCTTGACCAGGTCGATTGCATGTTTCGCCCGTTTCCTTAAATTATTGACCACCTTCCACACAGTTTCACGATGAATTTGTTTTTTTTTTGCAGTGACTGAAGTACTCTCGCCCTTTTTATGAAAGTTTACAATTGCATTTCTATCTACTGCCATAAGTAACTGTAAATATAAACAACTTAGACTTATGCAATATAAAATAGACGAATTAATAGACAATATTAAGCTTCATTATAAAAGAAAAGTCTCCTAGAAACCAATTTATTTTTATATAGCAAACATCCGTTGCCATAAATATGGCGGACCCTGTAATTTTCATGATTTGTATTCTTAATTTATCTTAGATTTTATTGCACGATATGGCGCGTCAAAACTCCTCCACGTCTTCTTGGAGAAATTACCCCGTCGATGTCCTTTGACCTCAAAGCTCCCCTAAAGACACGCCTCTCACCTCAAGGCCTTCCAGAAGACGAGCCCCCTCATCGCAAGGCCTCCCTGAGGACGTGCTCCCTCACTTCTAAGCCTCCTTGAGAACGCTCCCTTCTCCTCAAGGCCTCCCTTAGGACACGCCCCTCACCTCAAGGTCTCCCTAAGGACGTGTCCCAGGCCCGGAATGGCGGCGAGATGCTGGGGTGTAAGTGGTGCGCTGGCATCGCCCACGACGCTATCCACGGTCTCTTGTAGGCGCCGTTGTTCCTGCGGGTGTCGCGCCAACAGGTACAGAGTGAAGCCGAGGGCGTTTGCCGTCTAGAGAGGAAGAGATGATATGGTTAAAATTTATCTTTGTATATATAAAAAGTATTTAAGGCAATTGAAAATAATTTCGATCAACATACAACAGCTTTATCGGGCCACCTACAGTGCTGCCGGTAAGGTTTGAATAGGGCACTGGTGTACTCCAGTAACTATTGGTTCTCGGCGGTCACACTGCATAATTAGGCTGCTTGGTTTGGGTCGAGGAGGGGAGTTCACCCTGCCACCTCACCACCTTGATCTCTTTTTGACTAATAACGAAATAGTTGTGGTTGTCGTTCGGGTCGAAGAAACCTCACTGTCGACCACCGCCTGGTTTGGTGGATACGACAATTGGAACTGAAACTCAGTCCAGGGCTATACCCCAAAAGGACTGGTATAGGACTTAATTTCCATCATCGAAGAACGGATTGGAAGGCAATTTTTAATGAACTTGACGAAACTAATTGAAGAGAAGAGTTTCACGAGATGAATGCAGAGGAAATTGTTACACAACTATGTGAGAAATTAGCACAGCTGTGTGTACGTCATACCCCGAGAAAAACAGGCCCCTAAGTCCGCAGAATTCCGGGAGACCGTCGAAACCTCATGAGAAAATGCAAGCGATTAAAAAAGCGAATTACTGAATCCACTAGTGACCTGATGAGACAGAGACGAGTTTAGAGCTCCACAAGGAAACTGAACGCAGGTTGCAGGACTCGCACAGGATGGAAGAATAAGCTGCCGAGGAACGAGTAGTTAAGGTCATCAGAGAGAACCCGAGGTGTTTCTTCAAATACGCCTAGTCCAAGGCTAAAATAAAGACGCCAATGTCATTGTCGGAGCAAACCAGGGCATGTGTGAGTTACTAGGATCGCAGTTGAATCAGTGTTCTGTAACCCCCGCTACTCAAAATAGGAGAACGAAATCGAAGTTCTCCAGTACTGCCAGGTGAAAGGGGGTTAGAGAACATTGAGTTTGGACCAGAAGATATGGAAATAAGTATCAAAGAACTGGCGACGTTTTCAGCATGCAGGACCGGATGTAATTCCGACGGTGCTGTTGAAGAAGTGTGTTGAAGCACTGATGGCTCCGCTCACAATGCTCTGGAAAGCCTCGATGCTGGAGGTAATTATTCTTGAGAGCATCAAAGTGGGACTGATGCTCCTTGAGAATTGATAACCGAGGCCCTTAATAATAATTACCTCCTCCAGATCATTGTGAGCAGAGCCCTCAGTGCCCCGAAACTTCATTGGGTCGTGGTGTTGAAAACGTCACCAGTTCCTTAGCTACATAACGTCTGATGCACATTGTGCATTCGTAATGACTAGCAAGATATGAACGTATAAATGGAAGGCTGTGATACTGTGAGTTATAGTTAGCTATGAAACTTTGAGTCAAGCAACGGACTCAGAGTTTTTTATGAGGAAGACGGAAAGTTCAACTGTGATGAATTGCTTACCATTACAGGTGAATTTGGAGCCCTATAGGCAGAACTATAGAGGGTAGCTGACACGAAGTACAGACCACAACGGAGAATGAGTGAGGAGATTTGTGAACCCCATTTAGCCCGTAGACAGGGATGAGGATGACACAGATCGAACGTCTGGTCTCAGCGTTGTATGGGTGGATGGCTAGCAGACCAGAGCATGTTTTGTGTGGTACCTCACCAGTAAAGTACGAAGATTCAATGCGTGAAGCTTAGGGTCTGTCAATGAAATGGACGCGACTGCCGTGATCGGGTGCTCGCCTAACAAATAAGTGCGTGATGGTAGAACATATTATGGGGTGTTGACTTTATGGACATAATGAAACGTTGCCATTCAGCACATAATGCAGTATTGCCGCTCATTACATAAGACCATGTTGCTATACATCACTTGCAGCGCTGCAATCTCACGGTCTCAATGCCCGCCAGCAGAAGGTCGAGGATGATGGTAGCCACGTCGCTGCGATTGAGGCCGTCGGTGGATAAAAGCGTCTCCATGATTGACAGCCTCCTGTGGGGGTCCTGTGAGGACGTGACTTCTTGTAGGCGATCCTCCGCCTCCTTGATGGCCTCAATTGCTAGCCTGGAGAATAAGATCATGCGATAAAACGCGGGACAATAGAAACTGTACTGATGGGAATTCCAGGCCATCATCAATCAATTCAAATTTGGCAGCGTTAAGATATAACATAGATTAGTCGAGCAGTTGTTGCTTCATCCAATAGATTGAAAATCATAGATTGATAGATTTTCATCATAGATTGAAAATACAATTATATCCTATTGCACAGTTTGTTTTTGAGTGATTTTTTTTTATTTTTGGGACATGATGTTTTCGCCTTTGACTCAGAATGAAATACAATTGCTTGTTCGTGCTTGCGTATCGCTCAAAAATGCATTAAAAACATAGAAATTAATGGTAAAAAATACTTCAAGCTATTTTTCCATCCATAGTATATTAGGCAGGGTGAGGTGGATTCGCACCAGACGCTATGGAGTCGTGGTGGGTCGCAAGACGCGCGTAAGGCCGCATGACTCACGCTAGGAAGGCGTCGTGGTGGGTCTCAAGGCGCACGTAGGGCTTCGTGCGGTAGAACATCCAGGCGGGGAAGCCGATCTCTGCTTCAGTCGCGGCGTTGAAGAAAGCGTTAGCCGAGGCCACAAGCTGCATGGGAAACGAGTCCTGGCGAAGGCCGGGGTCCAGGCAGCCCAGCTCTCGGTTGAGTGCAATCAGACCAACACCTTGAATTAATCAATCAGGATGTTAACCAACCCTGAGAATTCAATCAATGTTCGATATTGTAAATCATTACTGAAACGACATATGTAAGCCAAACAGCAAGCAAGATAACCTAATTCATAAGACATAGGCCAGCCTAAGACATATTGAACCAACAAGAAGTGGCTACTCTATCTGCCATTAATGAAGTAGATTCAACTAACATATAATGAGGCCCATTCAACCCTTATCAGCGGCTAAGCAGATTTTAAGGAAACAACAAGAAGCGAGTAATGAACAATATTTCGTTGACGTGAGGATGAGGTGCTGGTGGTGCCACTAGGAAAGTGTGGAAAAGAATAAGAGGTGGCGCAGATTGGTCAAAAAAGGGAAAGGAGAAAAGGAATTGACAGTAGGAAATGAAAAAAGGGCTCTGCGCATAATCAAGTTGGAAATTGACATGTATGTATTGATTGAGGTTACGGATTGTGGGGGACCCTATAAGGACTTTGAATAATTTATATGGGTGATGGTTCTATATTTACATTTTTTGAGCACGACTTACACTCGAGTGCCCACTTGTGGAGCTCATGCAGGAAGTCAGGAGGCACTTGCCCCGTCCCTTCTTGCAGCAGGTCTATCCTGTAGCGAGGTTTATGGTTAAAATAACGCGCTTGTAATGATTGTGGATATGGTAGTTCAACAGGTTATTATTAGAAGCTAATATTGTGGTTGCCGACCTTCTTACGTCATCCATACCTTGAACCGGTTCATCTAAATAATTTTTGAAACGATGCATTTAAATAATTAACTAATTCTTATTGAAGAATAAATCACAACTACGTAATACTCCTTGTCAATGCCTTATATTAAGCATTAGTCGGCGCTAAGCTGTTGGCACCCATCGTTCTCGCAGCCCCATCTATGAAAAGAATAATTTTTAAAAGACAAATTTTTGGCCCAGAATTGATTTTTTCTGAAAAAGAAAAAAACGTCTCTGAAAATGTTAAGAAGAATTGTCTTGATTAACTCGGTATTCAAGCTTCTGCGCAGCCTAATGGTCTTCAGTACTGCGGAGAGAGCTGTAGGTCGCGGGTGAGATTCAGAGTTAGGTTCTTCGGTCAAAGAAATAGAAATAAGGGAATAAATATGCCCCTATAACTATGACTTTATGTTCCTAATGTAGCTGCTAGGACACTACGCTTAAAGAATCATGCAAGATAATTTGTATATAATAAACTCGATGGTATATTAGCATTATAAGTAGATTGCATTTAGAAGATCGATTCAATTTTCAAATTTAACATTTTAATAATGTGGTTTAAACGTAAGAATTTAATATTTAAACGTCGTAGAAGTAACATCATTTCAATGTTGAACTGTGGTGTCATCGCTACGTTGCAAGGATAAATTTGCTTTTATTCTGGACCAATATTCAACATGATTCAAACGTCATGAACGGAGCACGTTTAAATGTTAATTCAGTTAGAAAATTCTCGTTCTGTATCTTGGCAACGCTTGTTCTGTGTAACATGGCAGCACCAATCTTGCAGCGTTTGGTGCAGCTCGTGCTGCTCGCTTTTCAACGGTTTGCAGAGGCTCGTTCGTACCTTTGGCGGTCGCTTTGGTCTCCTGGAATTTCGGTTTGGCTCGTTTACACATTGCTCGCTTTCTCAGCGGCGTATCGAAGATCGTAATATCAGGAATCATGACTGAATTTCACGCTTTTCAATAGAGATCGAACCAACTTCATCCGCTTCCTTGCGAATACGTAATTCTTAACCTTGGCAGTCATGTCTAGCCTTCACGAGCTTCTGGATGGCTAGTACCCAAATGGCTTATTTTTCTCGGCGGCGTGCCGAACCTCGTTTTCTCGGCAGTCGTGACTGCCTTCCAGTGTTTCGGCGTGTCATGTCGAAAAAAGTGCAGCTGCAAAATTATTTTTTGATTTTTTAGTTGACTGGGCTGATAGGTGGCAGCTGTGTTTAATGCTGATAAATGTAAGTACAGTACATCAGATTAGGAAGATCAAAGTCGAACTTTCAATATGAGAAGACATGGTAGCAACGAGAGAGTGGTTGAGAGAAAAATGCGGGGGAGAGAGTTTTGGGAGTTTATGTCGACCAGTGCCTATACTTTCAAAAAAAAGTTAAGAGATCGTAAGTTCATCAGCCAATCAATGACGGCCTTTCAAGTAAAATACACCAATCACAGACAAGAAAATTGAGTGTAAGTACTTACGTTCACTTAGCGAGTTTTGAAAGTATTACCCCACGAGTGGAAATTTTCTATGCATTTTGAAATGCAAGTTAACAAATCAAATAATCTGCTCGGACTGATAAAATGCTCCTGCGGGTTCCTAGAAGCAGAATCGATGAAGCTGTTTGTTGAAGACGTGCAACAAGGATAATTCCAGGCTACGCCTGAAATCGAGATATTTGGCTTTTTTCATTTTTTAGTTCATTTTGGCGGAAAAGGAGCGTCAAGCACGGCATACAGCATGTATGTATGCCCGTGCCTTGGTTTTGGCGCAAAGCAGTTTAAAAAGTATATAAAATAATTATTTTTTAACAAAATTTACCAAGATTTCTTTGAAAAATTGCATAAAGTTTTCATTATTTACGTTAATTGACACTAACATGAAATTTGTCTTAATTTGAGCTCATTTGTCAGCTCATTTGAGTTGGTGATAAAGGCGCGTCGAACGCAGCAAACCGCATGTATTTTATGTGCGTGCTTTAATTGGTTTAAAATAACAGTGTGTAAAATTTGTGTCCAAAGATTTATTTGAATTATATGGTATTTATAGAATATCATTCGCGTTAAACTGGATAACAGTGATCATGTGTCTTCTTCGACGCGTGATATGGTGCGCTCAATACGAGAAATAGGCGATATGAAAGCTGGAGACACATTATCAAGTAAATTTTTAGCTACTAAGACTGTGTTATCGACGTCTGCGTGGCAACTTTAAGTGGAGTATACAAGTTTACTCAAACTTTGTACAAGCTTTTAGATTGACGATTAGTGTATGAAAAGTGGAAAAAGACTAAGGATAGCGGTTATAATATTATGAAATCTGTGGTTCAGCTCATGCATGCGACAACATTTCATGTCGTTTCGTGTCACGAATATGTGGAACAGACTCTCTGCTGTCATCGTTCAAGAACAGACTAAATAAAGCTATACAGAGGCATATGTTCGACTATAAGTTCAGCTGACAAACTGGTATTTTTTTCAAGGCCTCCCACACTCACCATTCCAACAAAAGAAAAGAATTGATTTTATTAATTAAAAACGGAATGGTTTCATGTCAATCATCAGGGCCCCGACCTTAACGCCTCTGATGGTGGCCTACACCGACTCCGAGGGTCACTGAGCTGTGACGCGAGCGAGGAGCGGGCCCACGTCGAACTTTTCTCTGACTGAGCCAAACCCAACCTTTGCTCCAACCATAGAGTCTCTCTACGTTCGCCGGACAATTCCGTAATGCGACGGCCAATCTGTGATATTAAAGGACCAGTCGTTTCACCATATGTGCCCGTCGTTTCTAATGCGACTGGCTCGAAACGATACCGAGCTTCCAACGCCGCGTATTTACGTCTCTGGTTGACTGGTGGTTGATCATGAACTACTATCAACTTTGAATAGATCTGGTCAAAAGGTCAGTACTTAGATCTCTGGTTGACCAGAACATTGCAAGAATCGGTGACTAATAAAACTTGGTCTATTCTACTATACTACACAGGATACAACGCTGACACAACTATAATATATTGTCTTTATTTACTATTTACGCAGGCTTCTTAGTGGCTTAGCTTCTTCATAGCCGCCAAGCAGAGAGCAGAAGGTCCAGGGCTCGAGTATGCTGGTACGGTCCAAATACTCGTAACTCTAATCAACACTTGGTGGCGCTTACGAAGCCATTCTTCAATCATGCCAGCAATTATCGCCAGCTAATTGGTTCCATCCAGCACTAACATGTGCTGGGTACGATCCAAATACAGCATTGAGATTAGTTGTGAACCACCCCGAATGCTTCGGTAAGAAGTTAGTACGGTCGTTAATAGCGGTCGATTAACCAAGGTAGGTCGTGATTGCTGTGCTGGGTACGATCCAAATACTCGTAACTTTAATCAATACTTGGTGGGGCTTACGAAGCCATTCTTCAATCATGCCAACAATTATCGCCAGCTAATTGGTTCCATCCAGCACTAACATGTGCTGGGTACGGTCCAAATACACGTAACTGTAATCAACACTTGGTGGCGCTTACGAAGCCATTCTTCACTCATGCCAGTATTATCGCCAGCTAATTGGTTCCGTCCAGCACTAACCTGTTCATGAACTTCTTGGTGGCGCCGTCAACAGCCGGCAGGTACATAGCAACGCTGCGTGGGCGCAGCAAAGGTGCCTGTACACGACTGCGCACTCGCCACCACTCTTCTCCATGCCTTGAGGCAAAACAGAGGAAAAACTATATTGAAATTAAATAATTATTAAATTCCTGAGCTCTAAAGCTTTAGATCACTTACTTATTAATAAAATTCTTAAGTTCAGCGATTAAGAATTTCAAGTTGTGGCGACCAGGTATGAATATTTACTCGAGTTACCCTCGAAACTAATTTTCTGACGCAGTGCCTTATAATGTTAGGAAACTCCAGTGTTCATATTTATTTACATAAGTGTAATACCGTGCATAATCTGGTAACCAAACTTTGATTCAGTTAAGTAGTAGAGCTCTTCCCGTGTTTCATTCCCTAATACGAAAGACGGTTGTAATTTAAGACGCTAGCGCAGCCTAGTCACACGATTCATACGCCTTTAACCGATTCATAGGGCACTTGGTGCAAGTATCGTTTCGCACGAGTACGTCTTTAAGGTAGTAATACCGGGCTGCTAGCATTCCCATAATCATACAAAATAAATGAAATCTCAACATAGTTAAAAATCGATTTCGTGGAGTCAAATACAGAAACATCCAGGTATTAGAACACCCGGATGTTCTGGTCAGAAGAAGCATCAACTTAGATTCTATAGTGGAGTCAAAGCAAACGAAGTCTGTTCGAATTAATACGAGGAAAACAGCAACACCGGCGTACACGCCGTCTGCGCTGGAGCAATGGTCCGCTGTCACTTGCTTTTATCTGTAAGCTTCTTACTGACAAACTCTGTTCAAGGAAGATCATCTTCGATCTGGCAGTAAGAAAAATACGAAAACACTCTTTAAAAAAAATTATGAGCAATGTTTGAACACATGCTAGTCTTAAACGCTAAAATATTTTGATTCTCAACGCGTAAAATAAGTTCTAATTAATGGTTCTTTATTTTGCTCGAAGGAAGGACAGCCCTTTTCAGAGGTAAAGTTTGAATTTTATTTTTTTAGGTATATCTCTAAATCATTAATTAGACGCCGTATGGAAAACATAACTATAGGAAACCGGTAGATAAATCTATTGAATTGGAATAAATAGGAAATAAGGTAGAATATTCAAAGTGTGTGTTATAAAAATTTCTCAAGATTTTATACATGCATATGTTGAATTGATTGGGCAGGTCGTTTTTCTCCAGGCTCAACTCTGGGTTCCTAGACGATGAAAGAATTGCAGCTCAAATCGTAGCAAATGAATAAAGAACATTTTTTATATAATTTTTTTAGAATATATCGATAAATTTGAAGGAGAGTTCTCCTCTACATTTATTGTTCCATTTTCCTTGAGACTAGCATTTTTCTGCCTCAAAATTTGATATTTGTAACGTTTCATCCATCATCAAGTTTTTAGGTTTTGCTCGTGAGTTCCTCACAGAGCCCAGCAGGTAATTAAAAAAATGTAATCAACTATTTCCAAGCAATTAACTTAAATGTTGACAAGATTCCAAAAAAGACATAACTCTTAACCCAACAACTTTTTAGAGTTTGGAGGGCCTAACTTTTGATTGCTTACATTTCCCTAAGAACTTTTCAGACCATGAAGAACTTCTCAGAAGTTTTTAATGCGATGATAAAAGAATAAGAGTCAATTTGTGCCTTTAGTTTCATAGACTAATTTGATATTAAATTAAATAGAGGCTTATGCACTTTTTTAACATCGTTGTAAAAAACTTGTTCCATGAATTTTTCTTACACGAAGGCGTATTCAAGTGTATTTCTAGTATTTAAAAACCATCATATCATTCCCATTAGTCTAGCCCATGGTCTTAAAAACAAGTGCAAATTTAAGAAAAATCTCAATAAAATATCAATGGTAAAAATTTTTCTTCGTTATAAATTTCTTCTTCACCAAAGAACTATTTAACTGATTTTTTTTCCTTCGTATCCTTTTCGCGAAGATAAAATAACTCTGTTAATGAAATTAGATTGGCATATTTTTTAAGCTTTTAAGGTTTCTGCTGATCTGATGCGATCTAGGATCTTGAACTGAGTTTCCGAAGCTTTCTCCGTGTCAGAGAACAAATTAGCATTTGACTCCAATTTAATGAAGCTTAGTTAGGAGTCACTCTGACTGATCCATCAAATAAATTAGTAGAGTTTACAAATAAATCTGGTAAAATGTTCACGCTCTTCTTCGTCTTGGTGTAGGTGGAATAATTCCGTATTTTTTGTCGTGAGAGATCGTTGGAGTCTTTCAAGAACTTGCGTTTTATTTTCGTTTCTATTGAGAAAACATAAAACTGAGTATTTCCTAAGTAACTCTCGAATTGGCGTAGTACAATAATATAAAAAATATATGTTCAGATTTGAAATGCCTAGCTCCTTATCGAACCCGGTGGAAATCTAGTAGCTACTTCAAACTATCGTCAGTCATGAAAAGATCCGGTCAAATGACACGAGTTTAGATCTATGAACAAGGCACGAAAAGGAAAAGAATCGGCGACAGGCCACATCAGGCCTACACTTCAGCGACGACATCACTATGTTATGTTATGTTAATATAATATAATATAATAGCGGTTTCAGCGTTTATTATTGTTGCTGATTCTTAACATCGCTGAACATTCACAGCTTATTGCGGTCTCGAACACGCAACTAACTGCTCTAACTTTGCTTTGCTTAACAACTTCGCTTGCCTCCTCGCCGATTCTAACCATAAATGACGCACAGAGCTGGAATCAAACCCGCAACTCTTTGCACCAATCCTAGTACCCTGAAATGTAACCACTATATAGCTGGACCACCCTATTAATAAAGTCATAACCTTTATCTCCTGAAATTTTAAAGAAATTATTTCATTAACAACCTACATTGGATGAAAGTTTTATTTCTCCGCCATTCTTACTGATATAGAAACGACTCATGCATGTTTTCTGAGCACATTAATCGCAGCTAAAAAGTGTATTTTTTCGCTTGATTACTATACATTGAATCGGCATGACAACTAATCTTCCCTCCATTGATCATCGGTCCTTCCATTGACTCATGAATCGATTCTTTCATTATTGAATTCAAGTGAGTAATTCTTATAGGTTAACTGCACGAGTATTTTTTGTGGTTCAAAGCAATTCGTGAGTTCTTATCATGCGGCGTTAAAGATTTCCTCAATGCCTTATAAATATTTGTGGAATTCAACTTATAATTATAAACGTTAATTTTGATTGGAATTCTTCGACGGCAATGCGAGAGTTTACTTTATTGCTTATTTATTCAAAATCATTTTCATCTAAAAATTTTTAAAGTTTCTGTGCGCCGACATATCGAATTTGGAGCATTTATGTATTCAAAGCATTACTGTTAAATATAATAAAGAATTTTCTCAAAGAAAAGTAATGCTGGCAATCAATAATCTTGATAATAATAATAATCTTATGTTCGCATAATATATAAATTCTCAAATAATAATCAACAATCTTATGTTCGAATAATTTATAAACTATGTGAACATAATATAATTAAAAATTATTAATTATTAGGCTCAAAATATGTCTTATTCATCTCAGATTCTCGTCGCAGTGTAATAATAAATCTCTACTCAAACTTTGGTTCAAAACTTTACGTAGATTTAAATACAATATTGAATGTTTTAATGGTGGTGATGTATTTACTTATGGAATTAGTCGTGCAATTGACACTAAAAATTATCAACAGAATATTTTTACCTATGGAATCGATTTATCAACTTGAAAGAACTTTTAACTATTTTTCTGTAACAAACTTTTCCTTATATTGACAATCTTTTTGTATTCTGACGCTTTTTTTATTTTATGACTCATTTATATATTCTGACAATTTTTATATTCTTACAAAATTTTCATATCATGACAAACTTTACAAATTACAAACTTTTTATATTCGGACCAAATTTTTGTATTCCTACTAATTTTTGTTTTCTGACCAACTTTTTCTTATATTTTCATGGAAATTGAACGTTCACAATATACAGCTTAACTAATCCAATCTCCATCTATCACACTTCACAAGAGCAAGCCAGATGCAACGTTCCAGAACGCGAACGTCGGGGCGAGACATATCAGAAATGCTTCTTTATTCAGTCAATCGTCGAGGATCGGACACCAGCTTGAGCGAACGTTCAGTAGGTAACTTAGATACGTTTACGTCTGGAGATTCAATTTTATTTGATTCAAGACTAAGCCTTGAAACTAATGTTGAAGCAAAGCTGACTCTGAACCTGCAATCAAATCGTGAATTCACCATACATGGGTTGGCGAAGGATAGGTTGGGACAAACGGATCATTGAAATTAATTGAGATGAAAAAGTTTGTAAAATAATGAGTCAGCCTCAGTATCAAAGTCGGATACAAATTCCTGAGCAAGAAGTAAGTGGTGAATAAACTCAGTGTGAAACTATGAACAAATTCATCGACTGTGCTGGTGCGCCTTGATCCCTTACTATTGACATCATTATTTGTATTTTTTATTATTGAAAAATGATTCACATTATTGACTAATGACTACGTAATACTTTACACAGGATCTGTTAATTAACGGCAAGCTTACATATCTGACTTACTCAGTGAGAAGACCGGTCTTCTTATTGAAGAAGTTATCTTTGTTGTGGTCACGCACAGCTTTCAAGCACTCAAACCCAATACGTCTTGGGTCCTCCATGGTGCTCTTGTACAGAATCTCTACGTCGTCAGGGCTTGTGGTGACCACCATCGTGGGGGCGCCAAATACCTTCAACTTGACGATGCCGCCATATTCTCGGGTGATGCTCTCCCAAAACTTTTGCACGTTATTCAAATCGAAGTCTGAGAGATACGCAAGAAACAAATCAAGTATAACGCCGTTATATTTACACGGGAAATAATATCTAGTTTCCTACTGTAAAAAATTAGTGTCGTGTCATGGACTGCTACGACTGATCAGTTCTCAAAATAATCTAATTATACGTGTTGAAAGAACTTTGATAAATGCTCTTACAATTAGTCAATATAAAAGGAGCTATCGTGCAGTAATATCATGAATTGTGCAGTATGTTCAGACTTTTTTTTTGCGTAAATGATTTGTAAGAACGCACACTCACATTTTGAATCAGATATGTAAATAATTGTAGAAAAACAATGGTCAAAAACCATCAGAAAATAAATTTACGACTTTTACGCACCTTTATGAGTGAAGAACAAGAGAGTGTTACCAATGAGAGGGAGTGGTTTTGGGCCGGGTATATCCGAGAAGTTTTTTGGATTCAGGGTTTTAGTCGCAACTTCATGGATTGATCTGTGGCATCCGCTTGCACTAAATATCAGGGAATTTTTGACGGTTAGTGGCAATGCACAACTCGGTAATGCCACCTGTTGAGTTGGAAACTTTCCAGCCGTACCATTAAAAATGGAATGACCGTTTCCGGAAATTAAACGAATGAAATATTGAGCTCTTTGAGGTTGACAAGTAGTCTTTGGCGTGAGCATCGAACAGTTCTTGAACCTTAAAGCCATTATTAGAGCTAGCAGATCCCGGTAAAATGAACTCCTCTATTAGAAATCTACGTATTCTGTTTAAGCAGCAATTTTTTCAACGATCCCTGGAATGCTGAAGCAAAAGAAGATTGAATGCCCATGCAAAATAATTGTGATGCGGCCAGACAATTTTCTTAATAATTTACTCGATAACTAAAAAATATTAATAACAAAAGATTTACAGAGATTTTGATGACATTTCCGGCATTACTGCTTTCTTCTTTGGTTAAATTGGGTATTAATTTCCAATAAATCTAAATGTTTCTTCCATACATTTCGATTTAATACATTTTATAAGACTTACAAAATACATTCAACAAAACTCGCATCAACACTGAGATGTGTCAGTTGGAATGAACGGTGAACGAATCTAAGCTATTTATCATAATACTCCAAAGAGTGTTTCTGAGGATCTGAACTCGGGATTTAACCTCATTAGCTTTAATCTACGGCGTCAACAAGCAAGTTTTGCCTGTAATAATAGTTGCTTATATTGTGTTAAAAAAACACTATTCTCACTGATTAGTTGTAGTTTCTCTATCACTTAGAGTTTACCGAGATATAAATTTTGTCGTTGCAATGTAGGGCTCTATTGCTCTAACGTGATATAAAAAAAATCGATCAGGGCTGGAGCGTAAATCAGAAGCTGATTTTCAAATGCAGTCACGCTTTGGTAATTCAGTGTTTACTACCTATAAATATCTCATTGTTTTTATCGTTACCTCTGCAATCAATTACTGATAAGGATTGTCTACTATCTTCCTATGAACCATGGGTGAAGATTATTTTGTGCGACTATCACGGAATTCTCGTTTTCTTTGATTTGAGTTAACTTTATGACTAAACTATTGAATGCTATATTAAGTTTGCCATTAGTTACGAACTTTTAAGAGTTCGTAATGAACTGCAACAAACTAATGCTATAATAAGAGACGAAATCATAGTTAACAGCTCCCTGTGTCGATCTTCATTGTCAAGGCTTGGTTGAGTGCCTAGCCTGGACTGAGTCAAAAGTCAACTACAAGTTGATTTCAAGCTATGGTGTATTGATTAATTTTGGATTAGCAGCCAAAATAAACCATCGAATTGATTCCGGGAAAACCAAAACTAATTGTTGGGACAAAAAAATCACCAGAGTTAAACAATTAAAAAAAGGTCGGTTTTCCATTGCTGTATTTTTATCGAATTCCGTCGACAGTTCTACGTTAATAAATAAAAAAACATTTACTTTTTTGAACCAACACTATCGCATCGACGCTGACGTTTGCTTGAAAGTAATTTCTTCTTTTCGGAAGTTTTTCAAGTAATTCAGAAGTTTAACTTACAGTTTAATTTAAGCTGCATTTCAACGTTGTTTTGGAATAGCTTACTTTTCAAACAAAAGTTCACCACGATGTAAGCGTCGCAAAATTTGGTCATTTCAACTCTGATAGAAGTAAAATATTCCTCCAAGTTTTTGCAGTTTTTTTCATATGGATTTTTTGGGAGGCGAAGACGCGCGACGATACGTCACCAGATTTGAAGGCCAACTGCTGATCTGACGACTCGAGTGCGGCGAGCTCAGTGCAGCTGCCGTGTTTGCACTCAACAAACCGGATTGCACTGAACAGCATATATATATTATAGATTACGTGGAGACATTGGCACAGATGTCCTCAAGTAGAAAGAAGCGTGTACAGTTCAAGAATCCGCCTCGCCCAGCCAGATTAAAATTTGAATGCGGCAATAGTTGGTGCGTGATCATAATTCCATTTTAGATCAGAAATTAATTAAATTAAGCCTTGTTGTTTAATTGGCATTCTCCCAACTGATGTAATATGAAAATGTTTCTCAAGATATAATACTCATAAAATACAGTAATTTATTCGTGTACATTAATATTGCTTTTAGGATGGAAATCACGACCACCCTGATGTTTCTGTATTGTGAATTCTGTCATGCGTGCAGGCGTTTAAAATCATAGAGCCAACTAAACAGGTGTATTAAGATTAGAGTGATAAAATAATAAGACTGTGTAAAACAGGACAAACATGTTTTCAGACCCACGTAACTTATTTAGATGAAGCGTCGTTGAGAATTTGGGAAAGTCGTGTTCAAAATTCGATAACGCGAAGCGTTTTTGAAGTTTAAAATAAGAGTAAATAATTCTTGAAAAGTTATAATAAAAAGCGTATTATAATTCTGTACGTTCGGGGTGCTGATCGGTTTAGTTTTAGCGAAGAAATTTTATGACAGTGGGAGATGGGATCATGAGCGACAAGATAAAATAAAAGTATTTTTGGTGGTAGAAGTTTAACGGGATTCTAGGATCAAGAGGTAGTCTCGCACTCTTAAGGGACTGGCCGAACTATATGCCTTGCCACCAACACACGCCTCCCTCGGTCCCAAACCCACAAGGTTTCCCACTCGCTCCCACACACGCCCTCCCAAGGAGAAAAATAATGACTTGTGAGGACAAGTGCTGGTGGATTTCAATTTAGTTGGACTGCTATTTCAAAGTAGCTCATCTTTGATCTAAATATAATTTTATCTATTTTCTAAATTAATTTCAACTGTTACAAAAACATCTACCAACCATTAGTGTTCAGTAGCTAAAGTTATCTACACGGTTGTAACATTTCATTTTAGCCCAGAATTACAACCAAGTTACTATAAGTGTGCGATCTTTTGAGTATGAGTGACTAACCTGTCTCAAGCGCACAATGTTAGCCCCGAATATTAAAGGGTACAACTTAGAATTTCTAAGCCTAATACCGGACTTTCAATTCATTCAGCTTGAGAATTAAGTTGTTGAAGCACACCTTCATGTATACAAAAGTCGAAGGTACTTTCAATTTAGTTCGGCTCTTGGCAGCAACGCTGGAAGGTTGTTTTGAATATAAACTGACCCGATTCAACACTATACTGCAGAAAAACGAAACAACCTCACACAAATGGAGGAACTTCGTAATAATAAAATAAAAATTTCACTAAACGGCTATACATCAAGTTATCAATTTACCAACATAGCGCACCTGGATAAGTTAGTTACAACGAATGAATTTTGGAGCGCGACAGGGTTCTGAAAGCCCCGCCCGACTGCTCCTTCAAAAAATTTGACGCTCTGAAAACACTCGGATTATTCAATGAATCACAATAGTAATTTAACTATCCACAATTTCAGAGCAATATTCCAGGGTGGTGCCATATTTTCAATCACCTTAAAATATTTTGCATAAAGGCTGCAATATTATTTCGGAGGGAATTGAAATGCAGAGGAAGAAATGTGAAATACAAGTAAGAAAACCGGAACAAAGTTGAAGTTCGGATAAAAACACAATTATTCTTAAAGAGCTTAGTATTTTTTAAAAAAGATTTTAGCAGAAGGAATGCGACCATATGGACAAGTACGTTATCATAAACTCTTGTGCCCGTCACGTATGTGGCTGGTCGTTGCAACATCATGCACATTCCAAGAATGCCGGTCACTGATTTTCGAATGAATTTACTCGAAGATTAGGGATATTTTATTAAACCAGGGGTTTTTTTAGTTGCCTCCAACTTTTAATTAATTTTTTTTGTGCAAACAATAAATTTTTGAAAATTGACTGAAAAAACTGGTCGCATAGCGAAAAACTGACTAGAGCATGAATGCTCCTGCCAGTCAGAGTGCTCTTCCCCAAGTCAGTGTTAGACTCATTTTATTCTCATTACGACTTTCAGAGCAAATTGAAGTATTGCGGACCGGCCTGCAGGCACCATAAGTGAGGTGCATTAGCAGAAGAAAGAATGATGCGATTTGGCCGAGAACCGCTAGGGCCTGGCAAGTCGAGGAAGCTGCCATAAGATGCTGCAGCAGCCTCAAAAATTTCTTATAGGTTTATTTTAAACGATCAGCTTCGTGCAAATCTTTTCCTAACGTCTTCGGCGTACCGTTGATTACAATGGAATGTAAATTGAATAAATGAAATTTCAATTATTCCTCCAGCTTCAATTATTCCTCCACTGTAACCTTATATTTCGTTTCACAAATTCAGTTGTTTGAACCAGGCGCGTCCCTAGGTTTTAAGAACAAGGGGTCTTAGCTCTTTGTATGAATGTCTTTGGTTTATTGGAATGTCTTTGGTTTATTGAAATACGTTTCTCATTTAATTCGCATATTCCATATGTGTTACAACGATAGCTTACACTTACAGCGACAACTTACATTTTTTGTTCGAACCTTATAAATTAAAAATTAAATAGCGGTTTCAGCGTTTAGTAGGCCGTAGGCCTGTCACCGATTCTTAACGTCGCAGAACATTCACAGCATTTTGCGGTCTCGAACTCGCAATGCACTGCTACAATTCTGCTGTGCTTAACCGCCCGGCCTCCTTGCCAATTCTGACCAGAAACTGGCGCACAGAGCTGGGATCGAACCCGCGCTTCTCTGCTCCAATCATGGTACTCTGAACTGTAACCGCTAGGCCTTATATATGTAACCTTATATTTCGTTTCACAAATTCAGTTGTTTGAACCAGGCGCGTCCCTAGGTTTTAAGAACAAGGGGTCTTAGCTCTTTGTATGAATGTCTTTGGTTTATTGGAATGTCTTTGGTTTATTGAAATACGTTTCTCATTTAATTTTATTTAGCATTATCGCTAGCAAAACCTAACTATTCTATGGAGAAACTGATATGCTTGCGCCAGGCGAGAGGCATGCATATGACGGCATGCAAGAAGGGACTCCACTCTGCCCCAAATAAAAAATAACTCGACTAAATAAACATTGAAGTAAATTGAGCATCAAATAATATTAAAATAATCCAAATACACACTAATTAAATATCAACACCACAATACACTCGCACCTGAGAACAGTGCATGCAGCCTCGTAAGCTCACTATAGAGACTAAGTGCTCTCACTTAACTGGCGAGGCTTTATGGAAGCTGCTCCCCGAGTTATCGGGAATAACACCTGGCGCCTCCAAAGATGTATGATCGTATATAAGGTGATGATGACTAGTTGCAGGGTTATTTATATAAACTTATATTTAGGCGCTTTATATTAAATTTGTCTGAGTTTTGTTAATTCTGTTTATTTTAAAATA